CCCTACTCCCAGTTGACAGAACAGGAACTACCTTATAGGAAATGCATCTTCACCAGGAAACACCCATGGGCATCAGACACACCATCACCCCTACTTTCGTTTCAGGTCTTTGTTTCTTCGTTCACTTTGCCTTTCTACTTCACCCTCAGCATTACAAAGAGCAATGTCACAGGAGGAAGGAAAGCGTTCATGGAAAATGCAAGAAGAGCAAACCCAACATTCCTACAAATATTCGTTATCAAGCCCTCAAAGTTAGAGTAACCTGATAAAATAAATATAAGGACGGCCTGCCAAAATGCCTTTAACTGGGTTCAAGCTGAGCCAGTTCACAACACACCAATGATGCAGAATTTAAAAGCAAAAAAGGACAAGCCTGCCAGTTTAGCCTCCAATTAATTTTAAGACTCTAGCTCTCATCGCTGAAGATAATCTCCAAAATATGAAACAAACTGAACGCCAATAGCATTCCTTGTCCATGCCTGCAGAAAGCTTGAAACAATTGTTCAGAAGTCCCAGCTGCCTCATTCTTCTCAAGCAGCCAGAGAGAACAATAAATACCAATGCCATTAACCATTTTTACTGATAAGCAAAATACATAAGAGAGAAGAAAGATCACATCAAGAGTCTGCACAGCTACAATGCAGCGTCTTCTGCATTGTCACAAATTGGAGCACCAAAAAAAGAAAAAAATTAATTTTTTTTTAGGAACCAAAACCAATGAAAAAAACCAGAGGGGAGATCGATCCTACAAAACACATTGCAAGTTCCTCTTTCCTAGCAAAGCTGGAAATTAGCTGCGTACTAAGCATTGGCACAAGGAAATTAATTTCCTGCCTATGCTACATCTCAGGTGCAGGTTTAGGCAGATTCCACGGCTTTGAAATATTACCAGTGAAGACATATGAAAAAGAGAGTGAAAACTAGCATTGGAAACGCTGCTTTTAAATACTCTGCATTCCTGTCCTGATGCTGGGACGGCAATCTCTTCCTTCCAACAGACTGAGGAAAGACCTGTGAGCATCAGAGAAGAGCCAAGGACGGGAAATCTTAAAAAAAGCAAAAAACAATAAAACAACCCACAAAATCCAAATTTTGAATATTCTCTACTGAGAGCTGCATCTCAGGCCTCAGGTACAGGCAGAGAAGTACCATCTTTTATCTGTAATCACTACAGGTGCAATTTGGAGTCTACCAACAGTACTAAACCACCTGTTTTTTAATTTTGTGGCATTAAGTTAATCTAAGAGTTACACAATTCCAGAATAAACAAGATAAACTGATACAAGGATCGGAACCTAGAGCAGGGGGACCTCACACACGCCACGGCTGCAATTCCGGAAAACAGGCAGGTAGACGCGACAAGTTGACATGGAGACCCGGCGCGGTGGTGGTGGTGCCAGCGCAAAACAGAAAAAGCGCTGCAGATATCAGGAATTAGGGAGAAGGCTTTTGCCTGAGCAGCGGCGTTCACGCGACGAGGCGGAGAGGAAACGGCTGTGATTTGCGAAGAGCCCGTATCCACTTGCACTGGACCCAGATTTGGCTCACCTGGGCAGGACGCGCTTTCCTCCTGCCCGCCGCACACCACCGCCGCCTTTACGCCTTCAGCCTCGCCCGCCCAACCCTTCCTCCTCAGAGCGGAGCTGCCGGACCGAGGGCCGCTCGCTCACTCGCCCTTAGGCCCCGCCGACAGAAACCCGGGCCAAGGCCGAGCGTCCT